ATATTATTATTATTATTATTATTATTATTATTATTATTATTATTATTATTATTATTATTATTATTATTGAACCCAGATAAGTGGTGGAAAATGGATGGATGGATATCATATTTTTTTATTATATTTATATTGATATTATTTTATTTTTGGGGTCTTACTTGGTTAAGTTGTTGGTGTTTGTGTCCTCTGGTCAGTTTCTATCTGGACTGCTGTTCTCTGGGGTTTAAAATGAGGAACAGTCAAGTGATACTCAGAAATATGTTTACCTGAACTCTGAGAAATATCTTTAAAATGGGGTCACCTGTCCTCAGCTCTCAGCCCGCCCACTTGTGAATAATAAAGTATCATTATTATTGGAATTATTATTATTATTATTATTATTATCATTATTATTATTATTATTATTATTATTGTTGTTATTATTATCATCATTATTATCAATATTATTATTATTATTATTATTATTATTATTATTATTATTACTACTATCATCATTATCATTATTATAATTATTATTGTTATGATGTTATTATCATTATTATTATTATTATTATTATTATTATTATTATTATTATTATTGTTATTATTATTATCATTATTATTATCATTATAACTATTATTATCATTATTATTATTATTATTGACCCCAGATAAGTGGTGGAAAATGGATGGATGGATATTATATTATTTTATTTTTGGGGGTCTTACTTAGCCGAGATGTTAGTGTTTGTGTCCTCTGGTCAGTTTCTGGCTGTTCTGATACTCAGAAATATGTTTACTCAAACTCTGAGAAATATCTTTAAAAAGAGGTCACCTGTCCTCCTCAGCTCTCAGCCCGTCCACTTGTGAATAATAAAACTGCTCATAAAGATGAGTGGAACTCATGAAGCATCAGACAGACAGTAACGAGGGATCAGAGGGAGGAAATACTGATATTCTCTCTCTCTGCTGAGTAAACGGAGCTTTTCAAGTCCAGTTTCAGCTCCATACGGTCTTAACCCTCTAAAGCCAAATGTGTCATATCTGATCGGGTTTCTTTTGGATGTGAGACTTTTTGCATCATTCAGTGGTAAAAGCTTTGCTCAAACCCCTGTTGTACACATTCAGATATACCTGATAACAGCCAGTAGAAGACTACACCAACATAGATTTCTGACTTATTGCACGCTAATTTGATCAAAATAATTCCTGTTTTTTTTCTTCATATGTTGTTGAGGAGCCAAAGAAAGACTTCAGACTAAAAAAAATCCAATATTCTTCCTATTTTTCTTGGATCAGGCTTTAAAGGGTTAAGACAAAACTAAAATGATCAATGCCCTTTTCCCAGCATCATATCATAGCATTATGCATAAAAGTTACTTTAAATAGTCTGACTTTAGCTGTCTTGTTTTTGGCTTCGTGCCTAATATACACATTTTTACTCCATATTTTTTAACCAAAACAAGAGGCTTTACTGGGTTAAAAGCAGGTATCTGGAGTATCTCTGTTTGGATACAGAGGGTCAGAATATAAATAACAACAGTTTTTCCGTTAAAATCTGCATGTTTATTGGTTCTTTTTCTCTAAAACATGCGTGTAGCATATTGTGTATTGTTGAGGGTTTCTGTCTGACCTCAGTTTTTTGGGAGGTCACTCCAGAAAAAGAGACTTTTAAGAGATTTTAAGGTTAGTTTCCATTTCCTGTGGGCCAGTTTGAGGGTGAAAAATACTGTAACACTGATCCTGTT